ACTTACTTACTTACTTACTTACTAACAGCGTTAAGAAATATATATGTATATTTACTCAAATTCAAATAGCGGTCTTTCGATCGTTCATGCTGCGTTATGATTGGATGACCTACTACTAGGCCGATAAGTTATATCCTACGAGAGTGAAAATATATTGCTAGCTTTGAAAACAAAACACTGAATTTAACTTTATTTTCAAAACTTGTTTGCATCTATATATTTGACCGACTAGTTGGATTTGACTCAAACGATTAGTCCTATCGCCCTCATGGCCCATGAGTCAATAGCATTCGACATGAATGATGGCACGGAGAGCAGTGTTTGCCCTTCGATGAAGGCTGCTAGTAAGGTTCGTGGATTCATTCAGCTGATCGTTACCAAGATTTGGAATACCAATATTGTATGACAATATTTGATTCCAATAATAAATTAAATATTGGTAGATATATAGCATAGCTTTTTTCTTCATAACGTCGTTATAACACTAAAAAAGTCACTTAGGATCCACTTATTTCATATTTTACATCTAAATGTTGATTTGAAATACATGCATTGTACTTAATATTTTACACTTTGTTTGAAGAGAAATTCTTTTCTAGTATTGACTCTGATTCTCTACAACCGAGGCAAGAGAGAAAAGAGTGCAATATACTTATATATAATATTCTAAATAATATTTTTAATATTTTAATCTCGAACGTGATCTATTGAAGAAGTTCCTGGCGTATTTTTCAAGGGAGGAAACTACGAGTGATGTTAATAGGGTTATCAACAGTCAACCCTTTAATGTCTTTCCACAAGGCCGGAGCGCGGAGGAAGACAGCGGTGACAGTGATGATTCCCAGAAAAATCGCCACAATTAGGACACAGCGATCAAGGATTCGAGCGGCCAGCGTCCACTCCCAGTGCCTCAGTTTGCGCTCTTTGTCTTCAAGATCTCGATTTTCTTTCCTTTCGTTTCCTCTGGTATCCATGTCTTTTATATTAAAGGGATAGGTATTGATATGTGATGGTCCTCGCATTTCAATTCCTTCATTATCCAGCGCTTGATCATTGCCATATATGTTATCACCATAGCCAGCACCTGCTGACCCAGCTGTGTCATTCCTCTTGTGCAGGGTCATAGGTCTTTGGTCTTTTTTGTCATTTAATTGCTTAGTGTGAATTTGTAGGATTGCATTCAAGGGTGGCCATTGATTGATTGAATATTTCGCCTTAACTTCCCCGTGGAGGAATACCAAACGTGACATCCAGTGAAGCAGAAGTTTTTTGACCCACCCAGGCATTTTCCTGTCAGTGCGGTGGTAAAAGTTAAGAATGACAGTTGTCACAACCAGAGATGCACTGATTTCCAAGACGATGGCAAAATAGTACTGGCCAAGAATGGGAAAGTCATAGGCTGGCATGATTTCGAAGGTGAGCTGTTGAAACACTGTCATTGCTAATAGGACTGTAATGCTCAGACCAATACGCTCTCCTGACTCTGGAGGCAGAATGAAACCCAAAAATATCATTGAGGAGATAAGACAGCAAGGAACGATGAGGTTGATTAGATAGTCAAAGGCTTCTCGACTTATATAGATCGCGAAGTTCAATTGTGCGAAACGATCGTCACAACATGGAAATGCATCCTCAGTCCGATATAACGAAATGTTATACACTAGCCACTCCCCGTTCTTGGTGAAGTATTTTGTCGGGAACTCTATATCTATGGCTTCTAAGTCCAAGTGTCGGAGACTATTGGTCCATGAGCCAAAAGTCAGCACACATGTCTGACTGTCCAAAGGAAAGTATCTCACTTGGATGCGGCAAAAACTCTTAAACATTACTGGGCTGGCCCAGACGTTAGTGCCATTGCTATCAATGACTACTCTTGTTTTATAGGTGCTAGGCCCACCGCCAACACGATCTTGTTCATCTAAACTAATGATGGAAATGGAAAAACAATGGAAATCTTGATTTGTTTTATCTTGTATTTTCTTTTGCGCAGATCTTTCTTTTTTCTTCTTTGTGCACACGTGTATGTATCTCTTTCGAAATAGTCCCCGGTACGCACTACCAAAACCAATAGTATCAGATTCCAACCGGGGATCCTTTTTTGCACTCGACCCTCACAACAGATGTCAGAACTTACTTGTTATATAGCAGGATATTCGGGACCCACATCAAACCGGATCCCTACCGGGTACCATTACTAACTCACTTGTTATATAGCAGGATATCTGGGACCCATATCGAACCGGGTCCCTACCGGGTACCATTGCTAACTTACTTGTTACATGGCAGGATATCTAGGACCCATATCGAACCGGGTCCCTACCGGGTACTATTGTTAACTTACTTGTTATATAGCAGGATATCTGGGACCCACATCGAACAGGGTCCCTACCGGGTACTATTGTTAANTACTATTGTTAACTTACTTGTTATATAGCAGGATATCTGGGACCCACATCGAACAGGGTCCCTACCGGGTACTATTGTTAACTTACTTGTTATATGGCAGGATATCTGGGACCCACATCGAACCGGGTCCCTAACGGGGACCATTACTAACTTACTTGTTATATGGCAGGATATCTAGGACCCATATCGAACCGGGTCCCTAACGTGGACCATTACTAACTTACTTGTTATATGGCAGGATATTTGGGACCCATATCGAACCGGGTCCCTACCGGTTACTATTGTTAACTTACTTGTTATATAGCAGGATATCTGGGACCCATATGTTTTCGGCCTTGACGCTTAGTTTATCTATTCCATTGTATTCTTTAGGGTTCCACTTGAGGAGATGGTTATTCCATTTCTGTCAGATGACACAATCATACAACACCTTCAAATTTCCACTAGCAAATTCTTGTGGCTTATACAAAGTATTAGTGTATTAATGTATTAGCATTGCTTTTGTATGCCCGTGATTTCTAAGTTTCGTAAGGAGAGACAAAACAGTAACAGCATGCAACATACACATTAAAAAAAACAACAACAACAAAAAACTTGGCGTTGGTTTAAATATTCTTATAACGTACATCCACAGAGATTCCTTAGTATAAGGCTCCTGTGTACTCATGCCAAAACGAGCGCTTTATATTTAATGTGTATATTGCTATTTTTTATGGGACGCAATCCACAGGAACTCCAACACGTTAAACCACAGAGAAAAACATCATACATAAGCTGACATACCTGGATTATCCAGGCGTATACTGTAATAAACTGCATCTTGGCATTCTGGGGATAAAAAAATCAATACAGTTTAGAAAAGGGGGACAAATGTCTGAAGACCTAACTTTGTTTGATTGACGCAAAAAAAAGTTGAATCTTAACACCCGCGTAAAAATTTACTTTTCGAATCAATCAGGCCATTTTTGATTTCGTGCACTGAACATCGGGATATGTTCATGGATCACAGACCCTTTTACTCGGGGTTAGTCTAATTTCAGCGTCAGAATAATTTAACAATTATTCGCGTGATTATCGGTGAATATTTTCCGAGCCGCGGTTTTTCACAAAATTAAAAGTCACCATATTGATATCTATATTCATACACTCACCACTTCGACGATGTTTATAAGATGAAACCCAAATTTAACTTTTAGAGGTTTTCCATGATTCTTTGATGGAAGGAAGTTGGTCTTTGTGTTGAAAACCTTTTGGTAAAGCCTTTCATGTTGTTGTGTCTCGTTATTGTCAGCAAGACAAAGTGGTACTAAAATATATTCAGGACCAAATTTAATCAGTAACAACTACTGCATCTGCCACAGAAATAGCAACAACAGAAGGAGCAGCAAGAAGAACAGCAGCAGCACAAAACAGCAACAATGACAACAGTAGCAGCAGTAACGACAAACAACAGCAGCTGCTACATCAAAAACAGCTGCAATGACCAAAAAAAAAACAAACAACAACAACAACAACAGCAGCAACAACAGCAGTAACGACAAACAACAGCAGTAGCAACAGCAACAATAGCTGCAATGACAACAGCAGCAGAAACAATAATACAAGCAGCAACAACGACAGCAGCAAAAACAACAGTAGCAACAACAACGGAAAAGACAACAGTAGCAACGACAACAGCAAAGACAACAGTAGCAACAACAACAGCGAAGACAACAGTAGCAACATCAACAGTAAAGACAACAGTAGCAACAACAACAGCAAAGACAACAGTAGCAACATCAACAGCAAAGACAACAGTAGCAATAACAACAGCAAAGACAGCAGTAGCAACATCAACAGCAAAGACAACAGTAGCAACAACAACAGTAAAGACAACAGTAGCAACAACAACAGTAAAGACAACAGTAGCAGCATCAACAGCAAAGACAACAGTAGCAACATCAACAGCAAAGACAACAGTAGCAACAACAACAGCAAAGACAACAGTAGCAACATCAACAGCAAAGACAACAGTAGCAACATCAACAGCAAAGACAACAGTAGCAACAACAACAGTAAAGACAACAGTAGCAACAACAACAGTAAAGACAACAGTAGCAACAACAACAGCAAAGACAACAGTAGCAACTACAAGAGTAAAGACAGCAGTAGCAACAACAACAGCAAAGACAACAGTAGCAACAACAACAGTAAAGACAACAGTAGCAACATCAACAGTAAAGACAACAGTAGCAACAACAACAGCGAAGACAACAGTAGCAACATCAACAGCAAAGACAACAATAGCAACATCAACAGCAAAGACAACAGTAGCAACATCAACAGCAAAGACAACAGTAGCAACGACAACAGCAAAGACAACAGTAGCAACAACAACAGCAAAGACAACAGTAGCAACATCAACAGTAAAGACAACAGTAGCAACATCAACAGTAAAGACAACAGTAGCAACAACAGCAGTAAAGACAACGGTAGCAACAACAACAGTAAAGACAACAGTAGCAACAACAACAGCAAAGACAACAGTAGCAACATCGACAGCAAAGACAGCAGTAGCAACAACAGCAGCAAAGACAGCAGTAGCAACAACAACAGCAAAGGCAACAGTAGCAACAACAACAGCAAAGACAACAGTAGCAACAACAACAGCAAAGACAACAGTAGCAACATCAACAGCAAAGACAACAATAGCAACAGCAAAATAGCAATACCGCAGCAGTAGCAATAGCAATAGCAAAACTTCGAAATAAAAACGTTATAGAATTCTGGTCAGTAGTTATTTCAATACGTCATTGATAACAACGTTGCAAACAATGCTTATATCAGTGATATCTATTGCGCTTATGACACTCATTTTTGATCTATCACACGTGAAAGAACGAAAGATTCCTACTTACCGGTAAGACAACATATACAGCCAATAAGCTGGAGTGCAGAAAGCACAGGAAATGGTTTCTGTTTGTATCTCGACATTGAGTTAACGAATATATCTACGGAACTAAAAT